TGGGACGGACAGGCTGGCGGGGGCGCGCGGGCGCGGGCGCGCGCGCTCACGCTCGAGCGAGAGGCCAGGCGGGGGAGGGCGCGAGCCGGCGGGGGCGGGATCGCGGGCGCGCGCGGCCTCGGGGGCGCGCGGGAGCGGGTCGGAGTTGCGTGCGGGACTCGCTGCCCGCCTGACGGACGAGAGCGGGGCGCGCGAGCGGCGGCGGCGGCGGCGAGGAGGAGGAGGAGGAGGCGGAGGCGGAGGAGACGGGCCCTGCGGAGCCGCCCGCGGGAAGGACGCCTCCCCGGCAGGTGAGGCAGGCCTCGGCGGGCCCGGGCCCCGCGGGGTGGCGGGGGGCAGGGCACGCCACGCCCCCTCCCGCCCGGGCGCCCCCGCCCCTTCCCCGGAGGACCCCCGCCGCGCCCCGGGTCCCCGCCCCCGCTCCTGCCCCCCGGCCCTCCCTGGCGGCGGCGGCGCGGCGGCGGCGGATCGCTGGGCTGCTGCGGCGGGATCCTCTTCCGCGGTGGGGATTTCTGCGCTCCCGCCCCGCTGCCCGGACCGCGATTCGTCACCCCGATAGCAGTCATTCGGAGGTGTCCCGAGGAGCAGGATCGGCGCGGGCGCTGGAACGCCGCCCCCCCCCCCGCCTCCCCTCGCTGGGATTGCTCCCCGCAGCACTTTCAGGTCTTCTGAAGCAGGAATTACCGCGCCGAGCCACACCTGGCCGTTATTCCGGGGGCCTTGTGCTCCCCTTTCTCCCAAGGCGAGGAGCGGGCGAGGGGGCGCCGGGCGGAGTTGCCCAACTATGCAGAGCAGCTCGACGCCGTCCCCAGTCAAAGCGCGGGGTGACCCGGGCGGGGGCCTGGCTGGGCTGCGGCCCCCGCCCGGCCCCCCGCCCGGCCCCGCGGCCATCGCCTCCCGCATCCCCCGCGTGGCCTCCTGGCCGGCCCGGCGTGCGCGCATGGCGCTGCGGGGCGGCCGCGATGCCCCGGGGGCCCGGGTGGGGGGGGGGTCCCCCGGCAGGGCCTGCGCTGTGGACGCAGCTCGGGCCGGCCCCGGGGCCGCACCTGTCCCCCCGTGGGCTGCCCGCTTCGGCCGCCCTCTTGCCCGAGCAGGTACAGCTGAGTCACGCAGCCCGGCCGGAGCTGTGCTGCTGGTAGGAGACGATGCCTGCCTCTTTCCAGCATCGGCTCGTGTGGCTTCTTTCCAGCGTGTTTTCTGATGCAGGTCTGCGTGAGTCTCTTCCTGCACAGCCCCCGTCTTTCCTCGTTGTGTAGCAGTTCGTTTTCGTCACCCAGGGATGAAGTTCTGGGGAATCCTGGCCAGTCCCTTTTCTGAGCCTTGCTTTATATTTCTCAGGCAGAGATGTGCATGTAAATAAATCCTCACCCACCCCACCGTCTGATGTCGGGGAGGTGCTCTTTGTACGGTTGGAAAGTGGCGTTAGTTCTCAGGTGGCAGTGCTGTGGATTAGTCTTGCTCTTAGAAACATCCTATCCCACAAGTGCCTTTACTGAGGTGTTAAATAAGGAATTCTTGCACTGCTAAATATTCAGACATATGTAACTGCCTTCTGTGGATTCAGACTGTCGGCACAGTATTGCCTTCTCCACATGGAAGCAGCTCTCCAATTTTATTTTATTTTATTTTGCTATGTTGTTACAAGAAATATTTTTAATAACAGTTGGCAAGGAGTGATCAGGGGAGCTTCTGAATGTAGACCACGCTTTGCCGCTCAGCCACTGCCTTCCCCCAAAACAGCCTTCCTCAACCTAGTGCCCTCCATGTGTGCTGCCTTACAGCTCCCAGTGTCTCCCAGCCAGTGTCTGGAGGATGCTGGGAGTTGTAGTTTGACACATCTGGAGAGCAGTAGGTCAGGGAAGGGTGACCTAGAAAGAACTTTGGATGGTGCCAGCTTCTGCTGGGCAAAGATCTATCTGGAATTTCAGCCTTTGAGCTCATTCTGTACTCACTGTAAGTGAGAATCATGCTTCTGGGTACCCTTTTAAGACTGATTCTCAGTTGAAGGTCTTCCAGCTCTGAGCGGTATGATCACTCCGTGCAGAAACTTGATGTCCCCCAGTTCTAGGTTTCCTCAGCTCCGTCTTGAAACGGGTGTATTTTCAGAGTGAAATTTACAGAGCATTAGGACAAATAGGAAAGTACGTTTGGGTTTAGTTATGTCACTCTAACAATATTTTGGTGCATTTAACAATGAATATAAAATTAAAGCATGTAAAATGTGCAGCCAAAATAACCTTTCTGTTCATCCCAGCTGTTCTTTTCCTGCTGAAGGTGGACGGACAAGCAAGCAAACTCATGTTTTGTTCTCTTGCTTAGCAATTTTGAATGGGTATAACTAATGTGTCTGCCTGTCTCTGGAAATATCTTTGAAGGATTTTTGCTCAGAAATGTTTGGGTGTTCTGTTTAATCCTGGACCTAAATTGTGTGTGCTTGCAGTATTTGAAGAACAGTGCCTTCAGCATTGTGGCATTTTAACTGAAGGGAACTTCAGGAAACTTGGGACATGTTTGGGCTCAGTGTGGGAGTTAACAGTGTAAATGGCTTGGATGTGAGAGTTCTGCATTCAGATTTCTTCTTGGAACTTGCGCATGGCCTTAAGAAAGTTGCGTTATCTCAGCTTAATCTTACTTCCCAGGGGTGTTATGCGAATGAACAAATGACATGAGAATGGGGAAACATTTTGTAGATCAAAGTGCGGTAGAGACTTTTAATAATAAATGGAAGCTTTGTAGTAGACAGACAGGCAGCCTGCTCTTATAGGGAGAGCAGTTCTTCAGGAGAAATAGTTTAACACAGGTCTCCGCAAACATCAGGGATCTGGCCTTTTGCTTACCCAGGTACAACAATGAATCCTAAGTCCAAAATAGGTTAAGAAGCAGAGGCGATGACCCGTTGCACCCCATTAGTGCATTAGCGTGCCTACACAAGTGTAGCGCTACCTCTGAATTGGTAGGGATTTTAACAACCTAAGTTTTTTGGGAGCAGGGAGATTTTATTGCTGCTGCTGCTCTTGTGTTAAAAATTGGAGCCAGGAACTCTTGCCAATGTGCTGCCGATCAGCCAGTAGTTTCCAATCTACCTTTTAATTTAGTGAACTAGAACAGGGCCACCCTGGGTAGAGGGTGTGTATCTGAAGGAATGTAAACACGGGACAAGGAGGGAATGATCTCTGGAATGCCCTGTTGCTGCCCTCTTTTCTTTGGTTGATACAGCCAGCGCAATAGACAGACTTTTCCTTCAGATTGTAGTTGTCTAATGGGCTAATCCCTGTTTATTCTTGTATTCAGCAAGAGTTCTTTCTGGAACCATGCATGATTGAAATTTTGCTAAAAATAGGCGTATTTGTGTGGTTTGGTATCAGATTGCATTTTTTAAAGTTAGTGTTGGTGCTGCCGCCGCCGCCTTCACTGCCAAAAGACATGCTTTAGAACAGTTGTTCTCTTGTAGCTTCTTTCTGCAGACAGCTTTGAGAGGGGGGGAAATCACCTCACGGCATTAGCCTATCGTCTCCCTTGCGCCCTCTTTATCAGTCTGCCTTAATTTCTTGCCAGCAGGACCATGTGGTAGATTATACAGGTCATTTGAAGAAATCAGAATGTGTTTTTGTGTGTTTTGCCCCTTGGCACACCAGATAAACACACAGTGCGTAGTTTGTCTGCCCGTCCACACTGCAATGGAGAGCGCTCGTTGGAGCCCAGCATGGGAAAGTGATGCTATTGCAAAGCATTTGTTTTAGACCTCCTCTCGGCACTCGTCGCAGTGTGATGAACCGTCTAGGTAGGCGTGCTCAGTTTCAGAGGGTTTATTGAGCATTCCCCAAAGACCTGAACTTGTGTGCGTTCCTATAGCTGTTGTTTCAGAAATATCATGAAAAACTTCCACTCCTGGAATCTAAGGAATTACTGAAGCGAACTGGCACAAATCTACCTTAAAGCTTTGGCCCGGCTCACACATAACTACAACCCTGAGTATGGGTCGAATCATGGATTGTCATTATGTGTGACTCCTTCATTATGTTTTCACTATAGTTTGTTAACCACAAACAACCCAGGAAGAGAACTCACGGTTTGTTGTTGGGTTGTGCATTGTAAGGTTTGCATTTAACAATAACCTGTGATTCAGTGACAACCACACTCAGCCAATACTCTGCGTCGTTGCATACGAATCAGATCGTCGTGTTGCTTTTTCTGGTCTTTTTCTCTTATTCCTGACTTAAACCTTACACTGACTTTAGACCTTAAAAGAAAATAAACTGTTTTGAAACTGTGCAATGAAATATTTATCTTATGTGACACACATACATTGCTCAAAAGAATAATCCTCTTACGTAGTTTGAGAAATTACAGACACAGTCGTTAAATTATTTTAACCAGGAATGATTGGCTAGCCGGATAGCTTAAAACAGAAAATTGTGATCTTCTCTGTTGTGATCTGTACGACTTCATATAAACATCGCTTTTTGGAAGTGAAATTTAAAAGTGTCAATTGGAAAGAAAGGAGATTTCTAAGTGAATCTTTGTGCAATTGCTAATTGCTCAGATAGGAATCGGGACAATCACTGTAAATGACTGTAATTTATCTTGCTTTGAAATAATGGCTATTTGCACACTTAGGGAGGAAGGCTGCTGCTTTTCGTCCCTCAGTATAAATGATGCAAAAGAGAGAAGGCTCTGTGATAGCAAATGTTCCCTCTCCATCCCCAGGAAAATGTAGTGGATCCCTAAAATGACAGGATTTGTTTAGGGTTTTTTCCTTGTCTGTGTCATTTATGTAGTGCCAACAGTGTGATTGGTGATGAAAAGCAAAATTGTGGACACTAATGTGCAGCTAACACTGCGCAAACAAGCCTTCGTGTTTTTAAAGAAACGCTGTCTGAGACACAGACTGCCAAAGAAACTACTCTAGTGCTATTATTAATCTTCTTTCATTGTGAGAAGCATTTTGCATGAAATGTCTGTCGTGTTAATATGAAAGGCTCTGAGTAAGAGACAAAAATTGCAATTCCTGGCAGAGAAATAGGATTGTGTACTTTGGGACTGAATCACCTTCAGACTTCGTGATAGCATGTCACCTGGGTCCTCTGTATGTTTGTTTCCGTTGCTGCTCATACCAAATTCTCTGTGAGATATGGAAAGGGAAGCGGTTCTTTGAAAACCAGTGCTGGATCCACTGGAGCAAGAGACCTACCAGGACAGATTAGGGATGGTGATAAATCTTGATTTGATCTGGTTTTTATAGTCATTTCCCTGTGTCCAGTCAGCTGAAGTGGTGCAAATCAGCTGTTAG